CAACGGGTGGAAATGGAATAGAGAAAGAAAGAGTAAAGAAAGTGAGCAAAGAATCAGGGACAGAAAAAAAGGGGTAGGGACAGTTCTAGGAAGTGATGAGTTGCTGTGTACGATAGAGTGGGGACCGGCCCATAACTGATCCTCCTGCAGGATTTCAGAGGCATTTACTCACATGGGAGGAGATTGCCCATCCTTTTCCTGCAGAGCTGCACCTCAAACTGTGTTCCTTTGGGATTGCAGCACAGAGTGTTGCCACTAGGCCACCAGAGCTTGGCTATGTGTAGTATATTTTAATATCCCACTCACTTTTTGTTGTCAAGGCACAATCAACTCATAGCTGGTCTGCCATTGAGTATCTGAGGCTGTAAATTGCACAAAAGAAGGGAGCCCGTCTTTATCCCAAGAACTCAAACCGCCAGAGAGACAAAGCCTTTGGTTAGCAGCCATGAGTACAGGTCCTCTCTTTTTATTGCTTCATAAATCCCTTTGAGAATCTAATCAAAGCTATGAACACTGTTCCTAGAACTAAAAGTACAAGTTCATAATCCCAAAAAGTTTTGCATACACTTCTGGAAGTTGTGCGTCCATATGTAACATAAGAAAGGAGAGGTGACAAGAGGGGAAGAACGACCTTGCGGGAAGGCCCTGAGAAGCTGGTGCAGGTAACAGAAGTTGCAGAAGTTCCTTCTCAGGAACTTATGTCTGATTGTACTTGGAAGGAGTAATTAAGAGAAATGGACTTGAATACCAAGGGAGGATTTTTCCAGACTACTTATTCATTCAAGGATTAAAGAAGTTGAGATAACCTTGTAACTGCAGCTCAGATTTGGAGGGGATGGGCTTCCTAAGCGGTGGGATAGAATATGTACAGGGAGGGGCTGGAGTGGAAGATAAAATATTTGGGGGTGGGGGAGAAAGGATGTGATGCCAGGACCTTATTGGGGAGGACCTTGACTCCCTCCACTCCTCAAGTTTTATGTTTAATTCAAGATGTATCAGCAACATGATGAAGACTTCCCAAGAGGATGAATGTTGAAAACTATGGTTTAGGGAAATTAATCTTCAGGATTATAGGTGTAGGAGAGATGAGATCAGTTAGTTTATAGCTTCTGGGTGTTGCGTTCATCACAATTGCATCCTACTTATTCTGTTTCTCCCTCTCTCCGTGCCATTCACCGTCTGGCAGAGAGCCAGCCCTTTAGTAGGCCTTTGGTAGTACTTGCTAAATTGAAAGCCATCAATTCACATTGAGTCCCCTTGTAATGTTCCTATTCCTCACCAGGTGGCACCATTACAGTGTTATTTAGAGAGCACAGAGCCTTTTATAAGCACAGTGCTTCCAAGCAGAAAGATCGGTTTTGTTTGGGTTTTTTCCTCACCTTTTGAGGACAGCCTAGATAGAGGAGGTAGGAAGAGGATTAGCAGCTAGGAGAAAAGATTCAAAAATACCCTTGTCCTCCCACATTTCTTGCAGGAAAAACACATGGACATATATTTGGGAAATAGCTTACCCATATTTAGGAGGAAAACTCAAGCAAAGATCAGCATAGCCAGTGGTGAAGCTGCAATCATGTAAAACTGCTTCAACTGTATCTCTTAGAGAATTATTTCACTGAGAACAGGTTTGGGTTATACCAGGTGAAAATTGTAATTATCTTACAAAGTTGTATGAGTCTTCATATAAAAATACTACAAAATTAAAAGCCAACCATTGAGCCAAACTCAAAGTGGTTATGAGTAACCCTGTAATACACAGTGTCATATTGAGCCAGTATAAAGTGCAGCACAAAGTTATGGAGGGGAACTTCTCCTCACCTCTGCACATCAGCACTGCCGTGGCATACCCCAAATACTAGCAAACTTGAAAGCACTTGAAGACAGTATCCTTAGTAGGTATCTATAGTATTTAAATTTGTTGAGAAAGTGGTTAGTAAACCGATTTCTGTGAAGATAACTATTCTGTGTGGGAAGTATTCAGAGGGCCCCAAAAGAAAGGGTTGGATTATTTTTTATTTGGTATTTTCTGTTTGTGTTTTTTTTTATTTCTTTAAGAGATGTGGGTTATATATCCATTTAAGAATGAAAATAATGAACCTTCCCTCTAAACAATGCACACATTGTGAGATTTTTGCATTCGGTATCAAGGAGTTTCAGTCCAAGAGCCCTGAAGATGGAATCCCTCCTGAAATTCACTCATCAGTATTCCACAGGAAAACCACCAAAGGAGACTGGGGTATGAGGAATTTAGGTCAGGGACCTAAACCTCTGCCAGATAAAGACTGAAAATTGTCTTTTTCTAGGGATATACTTAAATCTATCTGAGCTTGAGGGAACTTAATGGCCAGAGAACTTCTAGAAAGCACTAATGATGGACAGTGCACTTTGGAAGAGGCATTGAAAGTAAGTTAGGAGTTAAAAGGCAGACCTTTTCACAGAAACTAAATGGATGAGCTGCCATAGTGAGTCAGAACATGTTCTGGAGAATGTGAGCTACAGGAATTGAAAAGAGGCACAGAGACGTGGCCATGTCAGGGAGAACTGGGAGCACCAACTTCTTCCTCTCTAGCAGCAGGCCCAGGAGGCCATGTCCTTGGTCCCGTTATTGCATTACCACTCACTGCACTCTATGAAGGGTCATTCGTCAAAATCTGAGCTGCAATTACGTGTTCCAACTGATATGGAACATGATTAAGACTATTTACCAAGTTTATTCTTTAGATTGGAGGAAATGGTAAATCTCCTATGAAGACCTAAGTAATAGAGCAATTAGCAAAGTGATTGCCATTCAGGACTCTTTACGTCAGGTGGACCTGGTCTTAAGTCCAGACTGCCAAATGCTAGCATGGGACCTTAAACAACTCTTAGAGTCTGTTTCTTCCTTTTTTTTTTAATATTGAAAATGTTTTCATTTTTTTTATTGTTGCACATTTTCTCACCCTCTCCCCCTCCCCTAGTTCTCCCTACATTGCACCCTTTGTTCCAGATTGTTGTCATATAATGCCCGATGTATTCCTCTTGGACACTTCTTCCCCTCATCTAATCTAATGCAGTGTTATCTATCCACTCTTTTCTCATTCTGTTTCTTAGAGTAGAAAAAAAAAATAATAGTGCTAACTTCCACTAGGCCACCAGAGCTCTATAACTTCATAGGCTTATTGAGGGATAAATTTGGACAGTTATTAGAGCTGAATATTGGAATTTTAGGAGGAAACTCCTCAGGGGCATTTCCACACTACCTGTTTTAACTATACTCTTTAGGGTCCCTACCACCACACAACTCAAGGATTCCCCTTGCCACCCTGTATTCACAGGGCTCACCCACAATCTTATATTTACATGAATATGTATATGGGGAAAAAACCCAAATTGGTTTAGGAATTTCTCTATTCCCTTTTCCTTAATTCTGAAACCGATTTGCTCCTTGGAGGCAAGGATTTTGAAGGTCTGTTTCATTCACATACTTTGGCCATGTTTCCAGAAGGGACCAATCCTTGGAGGACATCATGGTTAGAAGAGCAGAGCATCAGCACTGAAGAGAAAGACCCCGAATGAGATGGATTGATACATTAACTGTGGCAATGGGGTCAAGTGTGTCTAAGACAGTGAGGTTGGCTCAAAATAGGGCAAAGTTTACAGCCATTGTTCATCGGGTCTCTGTGAGTCATAATCGACTCAATGATACATCATAACAACATCCTAGAGGATAAGGGTACTTAAGATAGGGAAAGATTTCTAAAATGAAAGCTTATAAAACTTTCCCTTGGTAGTTTTGTTTTCCCCAAAGGCATTAGTCATCACCCTACCGCATTCCCAAGAAAACTGTAAAGAAACTAACATTTGCACAAGACTTCCTAGGAGTCTTAATAGTTAATCTGTCCTAACAACTTTGTATATGCATTTTACACATTTAGAATATAAATCTCAAGCAGGGAACTAAATGTCACGAAGTTGATTTAGTGTTACAACTGAGATTTTATCCCAGACATGTGGGAAACACACACACACACACACACACCCCATCCCAGTTCATGCCATTTTCAAATTCCATTAGACGGCAGTTTTGGGAAATCTCCATTGCCCAGGGGAGCCACTAGAATTTATGTCAATCTAAGCTGCATGGGGGAAACCTTACCTGTTTTCTCCACTAGAGGCCTGAGGCAGTAACTGTGGTTTCCTTTGTGATGTGTCACTCCACCTCCCAACAATCTTGAGTTATCCCTCCCAAACAACAGCAGCAATCCATTCCCATGGAGTCAACTCAAACTCCAAGTGAGAGAACAGAACAAAGCTCCATAGAGTTTTTAAGGCTAGTTTTTCAGAAGTAGATTACCAAACCTTCCTTCCAAGGTGCCTTCCACTATAGATTCCACTGAGTCAAATCTGACTCACAACAATTCTCTATTGAATTCCCAACACTGTAATTCTTTACAGGAAGAGACCTATGTCTTTTGTGGAGCTGGCAGAATTGAACTATAAACCTTTCAGCTGGCAGCCCTCCACCTAATGCACTTCACCACTAGCGCTCCTAAGGGGGCCTCCAGGTGGACTCAAACTCCCAAACTTTTAGTTAGCAACCAAGCATTTATCTGCATCTTCGGGGGTTTCCCCTCCCTAACCCTTCCCGTGGAACAGGTTCACACCTGCATTCTAGGACGTCCAACATGAAAATCATCTTCAGGGGTAAGACACATTACTGAAAGGGAGTCTTCAGCCAGCACTCTTGGAGTTCTGGATCACTAAAAATTCTTTTTAGTGTGGGAGTCTCAAAACATACCCCCTTCTTCCCTGTTCAGCTGGAAGTCAAGGTTCAGGACAGAAAGGAAAGCAGGCAAAGTTGGCAGTGACTGCCCTGACCAGGCAATGTGGGTCAACTCCTTGGAACTAGAGGCAAAGAAAGAGAAAATAGGATCCCTGCAGTTCCCTCTAAGCTCTGGTCCATGCACGGGCCCAGAAGCCCCACCCTGAAATCCCTCTAGGACCAGTCAGCAAGGAGGGGAGATGACACCTCTTTATTAAGGTTAACACCAAGGAAAGCATAGAGAAGGGATACACAAAGGAGGGGGAAGGGCACACAAAGTCACCACTTAAGGAGGCAGGAGGGAAGCATATCAGTTAAGGAATCTCAGGACAGCCACATGCTCCATGCCCTGGGGAAGTAGGGGGGGAAGGAGAAATTGCCATGATAGCTTGGGACTCACAAAAGGGTTGGAAGCCCCCTAAACCTAACACCAGAGCCATAAGCCCTGCCCCTCAGGGCTCACACACTACTTATTGCACAAGTGGGCACACATACACGCACAAGACGTCATGGAGGCAACACTATGAGGCAGCGGGCAGGAATATATCAGCAGGAAAAGGAACTCAAGTTAAGCAGGTGTAGCCAGAAGAGAGAGCCTTTGACTGCGGTTCCCAAGAGTCCCTCAAACGTCCCCTAAATCTGGGCCGCTGCTGAACACCCAAGTCTCTCTGCCTGTGGGCTGGGCTCTTTGTTCTCTAAGCCCCAGTGAGTGGAAAAGCAATCCCAGATGAAGTCAGTGACAAGGCAGGATCCACTCGGCATGCAAAATCCTAGAGGTTGAGCTATCAGGTCTTCATGCACATTCATAGCCAGCTCCTCCCAGCCCAGGGGCCCTTGGAACCCCATTCACCTAGATTCCTGGGGCTGCAGTTCCCTCTCAAGCTTCCTTTACCAATCAGCAGCCGCAAAGATCTGTGAGGGGCAAAGGCTTTTGCAGAACACTGAGTATCTTGGGTGGGTTTCAGCAGAAGGGTAAATGTCCTGTTGCCAGAACAATATACCCCAATTCCTTATTTTCTATATAAATCTTTAGAGATTATTGGTCAGAGTCTTAGAGAAGTCCTTTTTTTTTTTTTTTTCAGAGTAGAAAAAGCAGAATTTTATTTACACAAGTCAGGGGTTCTCCTGTTAGCTGGGGAAGGAGTTAAGGAGAGGGGAGGGGATGAATAAGAATCCAGAGATGAGCGCTTCCTTTCCTGGAACCTCGCCTTTCTGAAGCTGGCTACCTCTCGCTTGTTTGAAAAGAAAGCATTCTTGGTGCTCCCAAAGTCCTTCACCCTCCAAGTTCTTGCTCGGGAGTCTCTCTCTGCCTGACCCACGAGAGCAGCCATCAGAGTGAAGCATGCTGCATCGCGTCGCTCAGTCCCCTCGCGTCATGCACTGGGAAACCCTCAGCCAGCCCGGAGAGGCGCCCCCGGAGTCCCCTCACAGGGAGTCCTCGCCCTCCAGCTGCAGCAGGGTAATGTCGGGCAGATCGAAGGGCTCCACAAGTGACCCGTCCCCCACAAGGAGATCAGCACAAGGACTCTCGGGACGCTCACAGTGACTAGTGGGTGTGGCGGGGCTGGGCTCTTCCTTCTCCTCGTCCTCGTCGTCGTCGTCCTCCGGGTCGTGATCCCTAAAGCTGCTGTCCCCAGCCCCAGGCGGAGGGTTGTCCGGCTCTTGGGGGGCGCCGGGGAAGCTCCCCTTGCCGCCGGCCACGCCCAGGCCGCCCTGGCGGGGCGCCGTGGTCATAATCTGGCACATGGAGACGATGGCTCGCTGGTTGGCGCACACGTCGTCCGAGAGCACCTGGATGTGCGAAGCCTGCTCGTCCAGGGCCCCCCGCATGGCCCTCACGTCCTCAAACAGGGCCTGCAGCTGGGCCTTCAGGTGCTCCATCAGTTCCTTCATGCCGCCGTTGTACTCCCCGGAGATCACGTCCCCCACGGCCGGCACAGTGGACACCTCCAGAGGCGCCGGCATATCGCCGCCGTCCTTAGTCATGATCTCCAGCAGACCGTCCTCCATTGAATGGCTGAAGCGGGTGGTGGCAGCCCCGGGTCAGGTCCGGCCGGGCCTCCCGGGTGGGGACGGGGCGGGGAGAGGGTCCCCGGAGGAGGCGAAGAGGGGCCCCAAGAGGAGGCTCCCAAGAGGGGCGAGCAGCCGTCGTGCAGACACGCGTCCCGAGCGGAGGGCTCAGGCAGGCTCGAGGGAGGCTGGGGACCAGCGGCTGGACAAGGAGCCGGCGAGGGTCCCGGGCGGCGTCCCTCGGGCGAGACCCCGCGCGAAAGCTCCGGGTCCAGCCTGGCGTGCGGCGCTGCGCCCGTGTCAGCGCCACCCTCCGGGCGCCACGAGCGGCGAATGCCCGCCGGAGCCCCGAGTCACGGCAGCGCTCGCAGAGGGGCTAAGGTCGCGGCCGAGACCACAGCCGGGCTGGCTTCGGATTGCCCTCAGCCCTCCACTGGCACCGGACCGTACCCAGCCCTCCACCGGCAGCGCCCGCGAGCGTGCTCGCAACGCCAGGGGCGGGTCTCCCCGGCCCGCCGCGGATGCTCCTCTGTTTCCAAGGCGACGCACTGCACGTAAATGACGTATGTCTCCATAGCAACCAGGAAGTGGAGAAGAAAAAGGAGCAGAGGGCTGGGAAGCTGCAGTAAAGCTCGGGAGTCGAGCGAGCGGGTTGGGCGGGAGCAGGGGGGGACGGGGTGCTGCAGTGGCCTCCGCCAGGCATCGGAGAGCGTGTGGCTGCCATGTGCAGTGGGGAAGCACGGGGGGAGCGTTTTGCTGCATCAACTCCCAAGCCCTGGAGGAGCCAACCCTCCCTTAGTCCGGGTGCGGGACAAGAGTGCGACAGCCTTAGGAGGATTCTTACCTGCTCGCCGTCCTTTCCCTGAGGGATGGCGCAGAGTAGGCTCCGGTTTCTCTGTCCTCCCGTTGTCCGCAAGAAAGCGCAAAAGGTGGAGAGGCCGAAGCGAAACGATCCAACTTGACCTGGTACACGGCGGCGCCCGGGATCCGACCTAGCCAGGGAGGACGAGAGCGTCACTGAGGTTTCTGCCTCTCCCTTTAGCTTCTGCAGTAAATTAGCCCCCCTCTCTCTGTGTAGAAAGCACAAAAACTAGAAAAAAAAGAGAGAAAATGGGATTCCCTTTGATTGAGGTCCAGGGTTTTTCCACGATGAGAGGCAGCACTTAAATGAAATCTCTTTGAAGAGCTAAGATTTTGTCTACTCTTCCAAACACCTCACTGAATTCCCAACACCTAATACAGTTGCTAGCATATAATAAGGAGGTAGGTGGCACTCAATCTATTTGTTGAATACTTAGCAAGCACTGATATGTCACGTTCCGTCACCCAAATGGATGGTGTTGTTAGTTGCTATGGCGTCTATTCCAACTCATGGTGAGTGAATTTTCAAGGCTGTGACCTTTTAGAAACAGATTGCCAGTCCTGTTTTCCTAGGCACCTCTGGGAGTTTTGAAATGTGACTGTGGGCTAGTAGAATGCTTACTGTGCCATTCATGGATTCTTAAATTGGTTTTAACACAACAACAAAGAAGTCCAACCCATAGTGACCCTCTAGGACAAAGTAGAACTGCCCCGTAGAGTTGTCATCTTTACAAAATCTTTGCAAAAGCCAGCACCAACCACATCGTCCTCTGTCTCAGCCCAGTCAGTGAGTTCAAACCTTTCTGTCAGCAACCAGTTGCTTAACCACTTCCCCCCACCCCACCCCCCACAAGCTCCTTAAATGGATGTTGCTATTGTGAGGTACCCTGAGGCTGGCTCCAATACATGTACACAGAACAAAACACTGCTGGATCCTGCGCCATCCTCACATTCACTGCTGTGCCTGACTTCATTGTTGCTGCCACTGTGTCAATCCACTTCTCTGAGGATCCTCCTCTTTTTCATGGACCTTCTGCTGTACTAAGTGTGATGTCTTTCTCCAGGTACTGGCCATTCCTGATAGTGTTCACAAAGCATGTGAAATGAAGTATCATCCTTGCTTCTAAGGAGCATTCTGGCTGCACCTCTTCTAACACAGTTGTGTGCTCTTCTGAAAATGCCTGGTATGTTCCATATTCTTCATCTATTCTTCAGCCTTCCTTATTCATTGTCCAACTCTAATGTGCATGAAAATACCATAGCTTAGGTAAGGCAGACCTTGCACTTCCACACTTTAAAGAGATCTTATGTGGAAGACTTGCCCAATGCAATACATAATTTCATTTATTAACAGTTCCCTGGGTTGTATTGATAGTGATCCAAATAAAATTAAATCCTTAACTACTTCAGCCTTTTCTTGATCATGTTGTTTTCAGAGGATTTTGTTTTCTTGACTTTTTTTTAAGGTAAGAAGTAAAGATCTATTTATTAGAAACGTATATCCCAGAGGAAGGGATAGACATTCTTCCTTGGAAGGAAATATGGAGGCACATTTCCAGTCTTTGAGCTTTATCAAGTCTTTTTTGGTATCTGTAAACAAGGTTGTGTCATCTGCATATCACAGGTTGTCTATGAGGTTTCCTCCAGTCCTGATGCCTGTTCTTTATATAGTCCATGTTCTCAAAAGTAATTTCTTAACATACATATTAAGTAAATGGGATAAAAAGATGAGACTCTGATGTACTTTTTCCCTGATTTTAAACTATGTAGACTCTTCTAGTTCAATTGTTTCTATGTGAGCACAATTAAATGTTCTGGAATTCTCATCCTTTGCAATGTTACCTATAATTTCTATAATCCGCAGTCTAATGTTTGCATCGTACATAGAAAAATCTTTCTGGTATCCGCTGTTTTCAGGCAAGATCCTTCAGACATCAGTAATGATAGCCGTCATTCTATGGCCTCTTCTGATTCCACCTGGAATTTCTAGATGTTCCCTATCAAAGCACTACTCCAGCCATTTTTTCATTACTTTCAGCAAAATTTAACATTTGGTGTTCCTTTATTTGAGATGGGCACAGAAATGGATCTTTTCTGGTCAGTTGGCCATATAAAGTTGTCTTCTAAATTTCTTGGCATAGACTAGTGAGCACCTCTAGCACTTTATCCTTTTATTGAAACATCTTAATTGGTAGTCCATCAATTCTTAGGGCCTTGATAGCAAATCAGAACTTTAAGTTTTCATTCTGCTACTTAGTTAGTTGCCTACTGAGTAATTAATTGCACTGCCAACACAAAGGCAGACAGTTCTAATCCACTAGCTGCCACATGGGAGAGAAATAGTTATTCTCCTTTCATGTGATTTACAGCCTCTAAAAAGTCTCTGGGACCAACCCAATTATGAATTGGTTCCAACTCAATGGCACATAAGAACAACAATAAATGATTAATTCAGAGACCTTGTCAAAGTAATTTTCCTGGTATGTTAGGAGACTGGATTGGATATCCTCTAATACTATTTCTAACTCTGAGTCATACTCTACATCAGATTACAGATAAAGGAGTAAACTTAACATTTGTTTAAAGGGGATAACTTAAGCACTTTGAGCATAATTTCCCCTTACCCTAACCCAGTGCCTCTCTAGAGATAAACACTGAATGCTCCAACCTTTATCACAACTCCTTCCCCCATTTGAGGAATGGAGTGGGGGGTGAGAAGGGGGAAAACGGATGTAATATATTTACAGATAACACCACTGTGAGAACCCAGGCGTTGAGGACTCTACTTCATAGGGTCACTATGAGTCGCCTGCGACTCGATGGCATTTAACAACAACAACAGCCAGTGGGAGAAGCAGTCAACCCCTGGTCAGCAACATATTGATTAGTAATAAAAACTAAAATAAAACCCATTGTAATCGAGCTGGTTCCATTAGGACAAAGTATAAACACTTGTCTTACGTATCTAGTGATTACATAGCAGTGATAACACAAGTGAAGGGCTTTAACAAGTAAATTTATTCTTTTACTGTATAAGAGACTGGAAATCAAATTTGAATGCCAGCTCTTGGGCAATCTCTCTACCTGTTTGTTCTGAAGGGTTTCCTTCAGCTTTCTTGGGAAGCTTCATATGTCCTAGTCATCTTCACTGTTGAAGAGCTTTCTAGAACAAGGAACCAAATCCAAAAGGATGCACTCCACTCCTGGAAATTATTTCTTTTCACTCCTTTTACTATTATGAGGGAAAAGGTATAATGGGCCACACCCTAAAGAAACTCCCCTACATAGGATTAGGTCTGTGATGAAATTAAGGGATGTTGCATTCTACCTTTACCCCTTTTACAACTATTTGGTTTATCAGATTGTGGGGAATACTGGCCTGGCATCCACATTATATCTTTACATACATGGATTTTGAAGGGCTGACTTCCACAGTATCAGTGTCCTGTCTCAAGACCCAAAGCCCAAGGTATTTCAGGACATATCATATGATCAAGAAGGAATGAAGTAAAGAAGGAAGAGGTTTAAACTGCACTGAAGGCATTGGCAAAAAATAAGACCCCAGGAATAGATGGGATACCAATTGGCATGTTTCAACTAACAGATATAGTCCTGGATGTGCTTACCAGTCTGTGCCAGGAAATAGTGGTGACAGCTACCTGGCTGGCTGACTGGAAGAGATTCATATTTGCTCCCATTTCCAAGAAAGGTGATCCAACAGAATATGGAAATTATCCTACAATATCATTAGTATCATATGAAAGATAAAAGACTATAACAATATGGATTTTCTCTCACCATTAAAAAGACATGGCCTTTAAAATCCTCAGCACTGGACTGATAAGCAACTTACTTAGTTCCACTAATGACTTTATAAGGAGTAATGTGGCATCAGGATTGGAGAAAGACTCATAAACAACCTGTGTTACGCAGATGACACAGCCTTGCTTGCCAAAACTGAGGAAGACCTGAAGCATTTAGTGCAGAAAGTCAAGGACTCCAGTTTTCAATATGGATTGAAGTTCAACATCAAGAAGACAAAGATTCTCGCCACTGGGCCAATTGGTAGCACCACAATAGGTAGAAAGAGATTGAGATTTTTAACAATTTCAGCTTGCTTGACTCTACAGTCAACTCTCTTGGCACC